AGGAAGACTCATTAACAACCTGGAATTTGCAGATGATACAACTTTGCTTGCTGAAAGTGAAGAGAATTTAAAATACTAATTGATGAAGATCAAAGACCACAGCCTTTGGTATGGGTTGCAAATCAAAGTAAAGAAAACAAAAATCCTCGCAACTGAATCAATAAACAACATCTATATAAATGGAGAAAATATTGAAATTGTCAAAGACTTCATTTTGCTTGGATTAACTATCAACACTCATGGAAGCAGCAATCAAGAAATCAAACGATGTATTGCATTAGGAAAATTTACTACAGTTCTCTGTAAATGGTTGAAGAGCATAGATGGCAGTTTGAGGACTGAGGTGCTCCTGCCCAAGCCATGGTATTTTCAATAGCTTCATATGCATGTGAAGGTTGGACAATGAATAAGGTGGACCATAGAAGAATCGATGCATGTGAACTATGGTGCTAAAGAAGAATATTGAAAGTATCATGGACTGCCAGAAGAACAAACAAAGCCGTGTTAGAAGTATAGCCATAATGTTCCTTAGAAGCCAGATGGCCAGACTTTGTTTTCATACTTCGGACATATTATCAGAAGGAATCAGTCACTGGAAAAGGACATCGTACTTGGTAAAGTGAAGGTTCAACCAAAAAGAGGAAGAACCCCAATGAGATGGAATGACACAGTGGCAGTAACAATGGGCTTAAGTGTAGCAAGGATTGTAAGGTTGGTGCAGAACCAGGCAGTGTTTCGTTCTGTTGTCTTAAGGTTGTTAAGAGTCGATGGCACCTAACAACAACAATGCCATCTGTCAAGGAGCCCTGGTGGCTCTGTAGAATAAGCACTGGATTGCTAGCCAAAAAGTTGGTGGTTCAAATCCCACCAAGTGCTCCAAAGGAGAAAGCTAAGGCTGTGTGCTGCTACAAAAATTTACAGTCTCTGAAACCCATAGGGTCATTCTGAGTCAGAATCACCTTGATGGCTGTGGGTTTGGTTTGGTTTGGGTGCTGTTGTCAGTGGAGGCTTATGTGGTGCTGTGAAGATGAACAGGTTTGGCAGAGCTTCCAGACTATGACAAACTGGGAAAAAAAGCCTGGTAACTTACTTCCAAACTCAATCAGTGAAACCCTATGGAATTCACAGTTCAATCTACAACCAGTCCTGTGGATGGTGCAGAACCAGGAAAGGGTGATTCCATTGCACACGGTCTACAGCAGTTAACAATAATGTAAAGTACATAGTTGGTGTTGTTAAGTGCTATAGAGTCGATTCTGACTCATAGTGACCCTGTATATGGTTTCCGAAGAGTGGTTGGTGGGTTTGAACCACTGACCTTGAGGTTAGCAGTTCAGTGCTTATCTTACCATGCCACAAATAGTAAGCACTCACTATACATTAGCTTTTCTTTTTTTTTTTTTACATTAGCTATTTTGATCAGGATGGGCACCTAGGTTTCTCCCTGGGGACAGTCAAATGTGTCCCCTCCCTCCCTCACCATCTCCTCTCTTGTCCTCTCCCACCAGGTGCTGCAGAAATCATGACTGCTGTTACAGTCATTTGAAAAGCCAAAGATGCCACATCAACACTGACTCTTACAGATACAACTTCAGCCAAGGAAAAATCCAATGTTGTAAGTGCCGTGGGGCTGCATCTGGTCCTTAAAATGCCTTCACACATGCTCAGTGACAGCCGCTGGGCTGTTGAGGGGATGTGAAAGCAATGCCTGCTTATGTCCACCAAGTCTTATCAATGCCATTAGAGGCAACCTGGGCATGAAAAAGGCTCCCAGACCCATCACTGACTTGCTAGCTCTGTGACTTTGAACAAGTTCCTTAATCTCTCTGAACCTTGGTTTCTTCATCTGTAAACTGGGGACTGAATAACAGGAGTCGTCTACCTGTAAACAACTGCAGAACTAAAATAAAAGCAGACAGAATGAGCTTCACAAGGTGCCTGCCACACAGTGCATGCCCAGTAGATTTATTATCCTGGCTACTAATATTATTATTATTACTGTTATTACTATTGATCCTCATAAGAGTGCAGTGAGGAAGCACTGCCACTCTGGTCATCTCCATTTACAGACAAGACTAGAGTGGGAAAGTGGTTGCTGCAAATAACAAAGCCTGGGCTGGTCACATCCTGTCCATGACAGTGCTCCTCACAGAATTAAGTCTCCCGTCTAGCACCTGAAAGCTTAATAATTGTGATGTAAATGTACTTAGCTGCTAACTGAAAGTTTGGAAGTTTGCCTTAGAAGAAAGTCTGGACCTGACTCGACAGCACTTAACACCAACAAATAACAATAATTATTGTTGTTGTTATTATTATTACCATTTGCAATCGAGTTGATTCCAACTCACGACAACTACCTATGTGTCCAAATAGAGCTGTGTTCCAAAGGTTTTCAATGACTAGTTTTTCAGAAGCAGATTTCTAGGATTTTCTTCTATTCGGACACATATGTGGTTGCAGTGAGTTGGAATCAACTCAATGGCAAATAGTTCTGATAATAATAATAATGACAATAATTTTTGATTTTTGTTGTTGTTAAGTGCTGTCAAGTCGGTTCTCACTCATAGCGACCCTGCATAGGATTTCCAAGGAGCAGCTGATAGGTTTTAATTGCCGACATTGTAGTTAACGATCCTACAGCACCACACCATGAGTCCAGTAATAGCCAATGTTCATTGAACACTTACTATGTGCCAGGGATTATATTAAGTGTTTTGCCTTCTTATTCTAAAACCAAACCTGCTGCCTTCAAGTTGATTCCAACTCACAGCAACACTATAGGACCGCGTAGAAATGCCCTGGAAGTTTCCCAAGGCTAAAATCTGCTAACCACAAGCTCAGCCTCTCAAACCCACCAAGCTACTCCTTGGAAACTCTATACTGCATCACTATGAATCGGAACAAACTTGAGAGCACTTACCAACAACAATCTTTACAGAAAGAGACTGCCACATCGCTCTTCCAGAGTGGCTCTCAAACCACTCACCTTCAGGTTAGCAGCTGAGCACTTAACCACTGTGCCACCAGGCCTCCAAATTTTACCTCATGTTGATGTTATTGTTATTTGTTATGTAATTCTCACAACATCCCCAGAGGTCACCATTAGCATTATTCCCATTTTACAGATAAACTGAAGCACTACCATCCCTCCTGCCTCAGAGTTTTTGCACATCCTGTCCCATCAGCCTACAGCATTCCCCTCCTCCACCCCTGGAGACTACCTTTAGGGGCGCTGGCCCTTCGGTTCTCACTGATGTGGCTTTTGGACACTGAGTCAGGTGCCACTGTTTGGGATAATGGGGTCTGTGGCTCTCTAATAGCTGCCTCCCCCACTGGAATGTGAGGGCAGGAGCCCTCATCTGTCATCCCCTAGAGTCTGCCATGTGACAAGTGCTCAAGAATTGCTTATGGGGGAAGTGAATAAGTAAACAAAGGATCAAGGGTGCCCAGGGAGGCCATGGTTTATGTCCAAGGTCGTCCAGCTGGATTGAAGGAGCATGATGGATGCCCAGGCCCGCTCACCACTGAAGCTGAGGAAGGCTATGCCTCCTGCAGAAGCTTCTCGCCCCACACTTGGCTCAGAACCAAATACTAAACTACCTTCCTCCCTTCTTCCCACAGCGGACAAGGGGAACTGGTGTGAGCAGCAGCTGTGCTCCTGTGACAAGGAGGTGGCCTTGTGCCTGCAACGCAACCTGAGAACCTACAAAAAACACCTGCGTTTCTACTGGCGGCCCAACTGTCAGGGCCAGACCCCAGAGTGCTAAGGGAAGTCCTACATGCCCAAACTGTTCCTCTACCATCTTGGGTACTAGAGGCCCCACAGAATTGCTGACACCCCCACCTACTGCTTAACTTCCACCTACCAGCCTGGCTCCTTTGAAACTCCGATTGATCATTATTAATGTCACTGAGCAACACATGTGAAGATTGTAGAAATGGCCAATGTTTTGTTACCAATATATCTATAACAATAAAAGAAAAAAAAGATCAGCCAGTTTACACAGTGTAAACTTTATTTGAATCTTGAGTCAAATGATCAATTTTTAAATTTCCATGTTGACATTTATCTGTTGTTGTTTCTAAGTGCCACTGAGCCGGTTCCAACTCATAGCAACCTTGTATCGGGTTTCTAAGACTATAAATCTTTGCAGTAGCAGAAAGTCTCATCTTTCTCCCACAGAGTGGCTAGGGACCAGCAAGGCTATGTTGGGAGGAGGCTGTAGCAGGTAGTGCTGACACCCACCCAGATGCCCTCCTAGGCCAGTGCACCCATCCCCTAGCTAAGCTGGATGGTGGCTGCATAGTGCTCGACTGCCTTTTCCTAAGGATGTTGGAGTCACTGCCCACCCTCACCCCACAAGGGACCCCATGTAGACAATGATTGGTTGGACAGATCATCTGTGTGGTACAATACATGCCCCAGAATCCCTGTGGGGTCAGGCAGAGATTAGACTCTTCCTGGAGCCACCTCATTGCTGGCTTCACACCCTTCCCTAGTCTGTCTTTCTCATCCACTTGCAAGTTTCAGTAGAGAGCAATCAAACCCTCAATAAATCACTTACATAAGGATCTTTATCTCAGGTCTGCTTCTAGGGAAACCAATCTAAGATAGATGGATGGTAGACTTTACCATATAGGAATCCAGAAACTGTCAGTCATATGTGCTTAGATGTGTTTCCAGTGATGGGGTTGGGTCCCATGGGGAAATCCACACTCCAGTCTATGACACACATCTGAGAAAAAAGAACTGAACAGTTTCCTGTTGCATGAAACTCAGGGACTCGTGGGAGGCAGCATAATAGGATTTAGAAACTGTGGGGTTCTGGGTACAAATTCCAGTTATAATTCTGACAAGCCATATGACCTCACAGGAGGAATCTCAGTTTCCTCTCAAGCAAAGTGTAGGTGAAAATAAGGAATAGGTATGATAATTAAGGTCCCTGAGTGACAGTTTACCATCAATTAATAAAGGTTGGCAGTTCAAACCCACACAGTGGTGCCATAGATTAAAGACCCATAGCGACCCTGTACAGGGTTTCCGAGGGTGTAAATCCTTATGGGAGTAGAAAGCCTCATCTTTCTCCCGCGGAGCGGCTGATAGTTTCGAACCGCTGACCTTAAGGTTCGCAGCCTGATTCGTAACCACCACGCTACCAGAGCTCCTTAGAGCAGTTTTATTCTATAATGCTTGGGTTCCATGAGTTGGAATCAGCTCACTAGCAATGAATCTAGGTTGGTTTTGTTTTTATTGTTTGGTTGTTGTTGCTAGGTGCCATCAGGTTGGTACTGACTCATAGGGACCCTATGCATAGCAGAAAGAAACACTGCCCAATCCTTGGCCAACCTCACTATTGTTGCCATGTTTGAGTCCAACGATGAGGCCACTTGGCCAATCCATCTCATTGGGGATCTTCCTCTCTTTCTCTGACCCTCCACCTTACCAAACATGATATCCTTCTCCAGCAACTGGTCCCTCCTGACAATATGTCTGAAGTATGAGAGACGAAGTTCAGCCATCTTGGCCTCCAAAGAGCACTCTGGCTGCACTTCTTCCAAAATGGATCTATTGGTTCTTCTGGCAGCCCACGGCACTTTCAATATTCTCCTACAACACCATAACTCAAAAGCATCAATTCTTCTATTGTTTGGTTGTTGTTGTTGTTAAGTGCCATCAAGTCGGTTCCGACCCATAGTGACCCTGTACAGGGTTTCCGAGGCTGTAAATCCTTACGTGAGTAGAAAGCCTCATCTTTCTCCCACGGAGCAACTGGTAGTTTCGAACTGCTGACTTTAAGTTTGGTTAGTGTGGATTAAATAGATCAATGTAGAGTAAACTCTTAGCATAGTGCCAGGCACATGGTAAGTAGGTGGGTGAGTAACTGAATGAATGGACACCTAGATAGAGAGATACAGACAGATAGATACAACAAGTCAACTCCAACTCATGGTGACCACATGTGCAACAGAACAAAACATTGCCTAATCCTGTGTCATCTTCACAATCACCAGTATGTTCAAGTTCATGGTGCAACTGTCATGCCAATTCACTCTACCAAGGGTCCACCTCCACTAAACATGGTGTCTTCCTCTAGTGATTAATTCCTCCCAATGACATGCAAGTTGCATTGTCCAAAGCAAGTAAATTGAACAATGTTTTGTTGTGATACATAAGGTTTTCACCACTTACTTTTTAGAAGTAAATTTCTAGGTCTATCTTCCTAGTCTGTCTTAGTCTGGAAGCTCCACTGAAAACTGTCTGCCATGGGTAACTCTGCTGGTATTTGAAGTAATAGTTGCACAGCTTCCAGCATCAGTGCAACAAGAAAGTTATCACAGTAGTGGTAAAACATAACCAGTATCCTGGTGTGGCACTGTAGGATAAACACTGGACTGTTAACTGAAAGGTTGGTGATTCAAACCCACCAGCCACTCCTCAGAAACCCTATACAGAGTCACTATGAATTAGAACCATCTCGAAGGCACTTAACAACAACAACATATTATTATTATTACTGTATTTATTATATAGTGTCCAAATATAAAGTCGACCCCAAGAGCAATCAGGAGGAGGACATGATTCATCAGAGCTTCCTTCTCTCTCCCTCTCTCACAGTTGTGAAAACTGTCTGTCTGATGGAACCTGATACACAAAGTCCATTTATTCAAGATGTGCCTCTGGGAGCCGACAGCTCCTATCACAACATCACAACAGCTGTGTGGCAGGTACCATGGCTCTGTGCCAGTATCTTTCCTAGTATCACCTTAGGGAGGTCTTGGCATTATCATTGCCATTTTATAATTGAGGAAAATGAGGTTCAGAGAGGGAACAGGAACCGCCTGAGGCCCCATAACCAGGAACAGGCAGAGCTATGGTTCTGTCTTCTACTATTCCTGTTCTGCTCTCTGGCATCTCTCCCAGTGCAATCTGTCAGGAAGCCTCCAGCTGAAAACTCTGACTCAACGGGACTTAGGAATGCAGTAGATAAGAGGTCTAGAGGCTCCAAAATTGGCTCTCTATCAGCTCCATGATGTCATCAGGGTCAGTTTCTCTCTAGGTCCTGGCTCCGCCCTTCTCAAGGTGTTAGTCTGGCTCTGCTCCAAGATGGCGGTCATGTTTCCAAGCCAGCACATGATAGCTTCCAGCCTAGAAGATGTCATCTCTTCCTTTGTTTCTTTCCCATAAACACCCCAATCACCAACGGACTTTATCTTCATGACCAACTCTCACACACACCCTGACCAATATCACCAAGACCATGGGATTGTCCTGACTGGTTTAGACGCCTCATCAGATTTATTCCCTGACAGGGGCCAGGGAGTCCCCAGATAGTACAACAGGCCCTGTAGGATAATGCACTGGACTGCAAGGTTGGTGTGAACCACAAGGTCAGCAGCTCAAACTCACCAGCTACTCCTCAGACATCCTATATAGGTCCACTATGAATCAGATGGAACAAACTCAGCAGCATTTAACAACACTAACCTACAGGCTAAAGGTTCAAATTTATACAACTGCACTACAAAAGAAAAATCTGGCAATCTGCTACCATAAAGATGACCGCCAAGAAAAATCTAACACATGAGGTAGCCATGAGTCACAATCAACTCAGTGGCAAAAGATTTGGGGTTTTATTTTTGTTGTTTTGAGAGGAGCCAGGGAGTCCCTTGGTGGTGCAAACAGCTAACATACATGCCTGCTAAACAAAAGGTTGACAATTTTAGTCTATCCAGAGTTGCCTCTGAAGAAAGGCCTGGCGATCTGCTTCTGAAAAATCAGCCACTGAAAATCCCCTGGTGCACAGTTCTACTCTGGCATATATGGGATCACCAGGAGTCAGAGGCACGTAGATAACAGCTGGACTTAGGAGCAGGGGCTGTAACTCTGTCAGTAATCTCCTAGTGGATGGTCTGATACATAGCATTTTTGTTGATATTTGATATTTGGTGAATGAATGAATTTCAGCTTGATAAAGTTGTGGGACTTTGGACCAGGAGGTGGGATGGGCAGGTGGATCTCAGGGTAGTCAACATTATGGATTCCTCCCTTTGCTGGCCTTCAAGGCAAGAGGGGAAGCTCCCACCCTGTGAGTTCTCATCTTGGAATCATTCCCAACCCAGAGGGCTCCTGTGAGATGATAAGAGGCATAAAGGAAACTTCTCTTCTCCTCACTCATCTCTGCAGGTATCCTACCACCACAAGGGATGGGGAGACAGGGAGCATGGCACAATCACTGTCCTGCCGCCTCCTTCCAGCTTATCCAGCTCTGCAAAGGGACACCCAGAGACGGAAGGCAGAGCAGACACCAAACACATTCAGTGTCCACTCACCTACTGTCTCAACGACCTCAGGACATCAGTAATGTTACCTACATGTTACAGCTGCAGAAACTAAAACTGGAGGATGAGTCACTTGCTGATTAGTGTCAGGGCTGGGATTCAAACTTAGGTATCTCTGACTCGAGAGCCTTATCTCACTCTGCCTCCCACAGAGAGTTCATGACTCAATCCTGAATGCTCTTACTGAGGACTAGTTGTGCTCAGGGCCTAAGAAGTCAGAATCTGTGTGCCAAAGGAAAGAAAACAGTGTTTTGTAATACCACACTGACAGTATCACATCAGTATCATATTGAAAAGAAGAGTCCTTGTGTTTTGGAGCACCGTAAACACACAGATTCCCTGCCACCCATTAGCAATGCACTCCTCCCTGGCCCTGGACACCCAATTCATCTTGTTGGAGGTCTTCTTTTTTTGCTGATCCTCCACT